ACAATTTTGAATTAATGTTAAAAATTTGGGATTTATTTTCTTCTAAGAATTTTGAAATTATTTTGTAATTAGATTATTGTTTAAAAATTTTAATTTTAAGAATTATGTCGACATGAAGTATAAATGAAATAATTATTAAATGGGAGAATGTTAAATATTGTTAAAATTAATATACAAATACCAAGGATTTAAGAAATTGAATAATTGGATTAAAATTTACATCAGAATTTAATTAACAGCACAATATATTAAAATTTGTTTGGAATTATGGTAAGTGAATGTTATAATTATCAATCATTGCATATTTAATATAAACTATGTTGAGGGAGTATTGGTTCATAGAGGCCTGTTTTACCTCTGCGTTATTGTTCCTTTTACCCTCCTCATGTCCTATAAACTTTGAAAGCTCACACTTTATTTAATTTATTACATAGAATTTTTAATTTTATTATGTAATGAGTATGATTTTTTTTAATGTAATGGAATGTTGTAGCGCAGTTCACTAACCACTTATGAAAATTTAATACATGAGTTTGTTTAAAGTGGATTTGCCCAAATAGCTGGATGTGTGTACTAGGAGAAAGCTGTGGGGTCTTCTAGTTTGTGTAAAATAAGAAAATTGTAAAATGTAGTAATAAAAAGTAAAACCATAATTTCAATCATGCTTTTCAAATGACAAGTATTACTTATAAATGTGAAAATTGGTGTAAATTTTAAAATTTATGATCATTCATAATAACTAATGGGTATATAAAATGTTTATAATTGTGACCTGGTGTGTAAAAATTTTTGGAAATCCCTCCCTGAAGTATCAAAATTGTGATTCCAGAAACAAGATATGTCTACAGATTGGACTCAAATGTTCATAGGACTTTAAAAATAAATAAAATAATTATTGAACTCAAAATTTTACATATTATAGTTTTATTGTTCAAAAGCTAATGTTATATTTTGTATGTTTCAAAATGATATATCTCATGTTTTGCTACTTTAATGCTGTTTTTCTCAAAAAGGCTTCTCTATCACTCTCTGCCTTTTTCTTTTTTGAAAGGGGGAATGTGCAAGATAAAAAATATGAAAGCAAACTTCTAAATTTAATTCACTATAACCTCTTATATTTTTTATTTCATTTGGGAACTTCATCTATCTATCCTAAAAATAGCGCTCAAGTCTAAACTGTGTCATTTAAATTAATCATGCGATCTTACGCAACCCTTAATGCAGATGCCTCTTGACCAATCACTGAAAATTTTAATACAAGTTTGTGCTGCATTCATAATCAAATCTTTCACCTCGTGTCATCGAACATCAGTTTCATTACATATATATATATTGTTGATTTTTTTTTTTTTTTTTAACGCCAGTTGTTATGTTATTTTCTTCCTTCACGTTTGTACGGGGTTTGTAGATTTGGAGTGAATACGACGACAATTGATGAAGTAACGAAACACACTTTATTTAGCCAATATTAATCAGGACAGCTCCAAAGTCACTTTTACAGTCGTCGAAGATCTACTATACACTCGCTGGAACAATCAGTGACACAGCCTTCAGGTTATCAGGCTATCACAGTGGACAAAGCTTCACTGCAAAGCAAACAAAGTACAGCTCCCGACTCTGCTCGGTTGTTCTCGGAACTCCACGTACACTCGAGACTCTTCGCACTACAACTCGCGATGCACTTGACGACACACAGAGCACAGCTCCCAACTCTTCGGTTCAGTTGTTCCCGGATCTCAACACGCTCTCTCGGTGATGTACTAATTGCGATACACTAACAGACTCCATGCTGCAACTCGTGATGCACTCGAAAACACACAGAGCACAGCTCCCGAACCTTCGGTTCAGTTGTTCCCGGAGCTCAACACCCTCTCTCGATGATGCACTAAGATACTCTTCAATGCACTCGACGACCCACTTGGCACTCACTGGCCAGCTGTTAACTCGATCGTCTCTGCACGAACTAACTAGATGAGACACACCATCTCACACTCTAGATGAGGCACACACTAACTGACTGCGGACCAGCAGGGTTTATATAGCTTTCGGCTTGTGTCTGAGAACATTCTGGGCTAAACTGGTAAGAATTCGTTCCAGAAGGTCCTCCATCCGTCCATGGCATATCGCCAAATGGGCGATTTTGCAATGTGGCAACCCTGCCTTCCCTTGCCATTTTATGGCAATCTTAAACCTGCTTTGCGGGGAAGCTATCTCACCGCACCTTGACATTTCGTAACAATATATATTAGAGTGCGGCTTTCCGGAATAAGCATTTACAAAGCAGCTCGCAGAGTTTTGGGGATTGGATAGGCTTGTTATTTATGCTGCAGACATGCTGACACCATCTATCAGTAGCTTAAAATACTAACTTGCATATTTAATATGATAATATCAGAGTCAAATAAATGATTTTAAATTCAATTTTTTTGGTTTTCTAATGAACAACCTAATATAAAGTAAGCTAGACAGCTGCAGATAGCTGACAGCTGTATGATTATCATCGCCAATAGCTAACAAAATTATCATTACTGCACGCTGTTTGATCTTGTATGAACAATGAAATATTTATTATGCATCTTTTGTTTATGCAAGAAAAGAAATTGCCAGTCACTTTAACGCAAATTTTCGATACAGGATATAAATTCAACAATATACAATGTGCGACATTATAAAAAAATGAGCTGGTCCAATAAATCATTGTACTTACAAAATCAGTTCTCCGTGAGATTAGCACCTTCAAAGTAGTTCCCTTCAGCATTCACACACTTCTGCATTCTGTGCTGCCATTGCTGGTAACGGTTCTGGAACAACATTTTTGGAAGGCCCTTCAGGAAATTCTTTGCCTGAACCTCTTCAACTGAGGTAAAACGGGTTCCCTTTAAGTAAGATTTAAGTTTAGAAAATAAAAAAAAGTCGCATGGAGCAAAATCAGGTAAATAAGGAGGATGCCCCATCACAGTAATATTTTTGCTGATCAGAAACTGCTTGGCAAATAGGGCCGTGTGAGCGGGTGAATTGTCCTAGTGCAACAGCCATCTATCACTCCACAACTGCGGCTTTTTTTTTTTTCCCTAATTTTTTTCACGAAGTCCTTTTGGTACTTCAATATGTAGTGTTGATTAACAGTCTGACCCCTGGGAGCCTATTCAATCATGATGAATGTGCTGGGTGCCCAGCAATTTATCATCTTCCACATTGTACTTTCCCCTGAAAACAGCTTATGCCATTCAAACACATGTGCATGAGACAAAGTTTCATCTCCAGAGGCCTCGGTTAACATTTGAAATGTTTCCTCCATGGCTGATTTCTTAAGTTTCACATGTGTTGATTCGCAGTTCGGTTTTTAAATTAGGCATTTTTCCAGCAGAATGCAGTTGCACGTGTTCACTCAATGATACATTACTTCCCACTGGCATGGTCAGTTACGTTGAAACTGGCCATATGGATAGAGGAGGTGTGTGGCATGATGTCACCAAAAACAGTTCTTGACTAAGTGTGTAGTTCACTCTGACAGAGTGAAAACAGAATGGAGTTCACTCTGTTTTCAAGCTACATAGTATCTTTTTTTTTTTTTTTTTTTTTTTTTTTTAATCACACCTTGTATTACTCAATTAAATTTTAAAACTTTTGAGCAGAACATTAGATATGAATAAAGTCATATGTATTATTCCTAAATATTTACAATAGTTTATTGTTCGAAAAGAATTCAAGCCAATCTGGTTGTTGCTGGGTGCAGTTTGTTCATATTCAGTGGGATTCGTAAATATCCTGAAATAAATACATAATAAAACTCTGCTAATCCAAACTTTATTTTATTGAAATGAAAGAAAAGCAGACACTTATGCACATTCCAACCATCAAAGTAGAAGTATGGCACCAAATTAAAAAATGGTAGCATGGCACCAAATTTTCAGACTGAGTCAAACTCTGGCAACCATGCCCATAACCATTCTTCAGGCAATTATTCTCATAACAATCCTTCAGTCAAGTAATATCGCCATTTTTGTTTGTATTTTTTTTTTTTTTGTTTTTTTTTTTTGTTTTGTTTCATTCTAAGTTCCAGTACTTTTTAGAGACAAATTATGACATTTTTTGCTTAAGCACACTTAAATTATCACTTGTGGAATATGCTAGTCATGGAAGACATTGTGGTAAAATTTCTGAAGGACATAAGTAATTTGCCACAAAATCACTAAAAGGAACAATGACAAGATGCATTTAGTAAATTGCCAGTGCATAATGCTGAGTTTGTGCAATTCTCCGATGTTTTTTCAGCAAAAACAGATCGTTCTGTACATAGGAAAATAAACAATGCTAAAAAATTAGAGAAGAGTTTTGTGAAAAACGAGTTTCGTTTTTTCGTGTATTACATAATTCTAATTCAATAATTAAAATTTTTAATGCATAATTTCTTTTGATATGTTGATAATGTTTGCCAACTCAAAATGAATAGCAATAGTTAGGAAAGACTTTTAAAAAAAAAAAGGTCATGAAAATCTTCCACTTGATGAGTAAATTTTTTTCATTTGTAAAAAAAATCACCTAACTGTGCCAAGATGATTGCATTTATATGCAAATACTGAAAACATAATTGAACCACTAGATCCAGAAAGGAAGTTTTTTTTTTTTTTTTTTAAGTCACACTTTCTCATTCTTTTACTGGTAAGTATTTTCCTTATTTTGAAGCAGTTATATCAAGAATAATGTATGCAAAAATAAGGAAATCTCTTTACCTGGGAGATGATACATATATATAGCTCATCAAATGGTAGCATGGCACAGCTAGCTATTTGCACTGTGAGAAAGCAACTTGAATGATACCATAGGTATGTTAATTTGTTTATGGTACGATATGTATTTATACTTACATTTAACAATCAAAAACAACTGCCAGATATTACCAGAAAAATATGTCATGCAAAACCCCTGAATTATCTGGGAGAAATAAGGTCCTATTACATACATATGAGATGTTTTAAAATGTGAAAATAATAGCTTACCTCTTTTGAATCAAATAACTGGACAGATACAGTTTCAGCACCAATATCTATTATTTTCCCTAATTTATAGCCACTCAGTGAATCTGGAACCCATACCTTAGGTGTTTCCATTGCACCTTAAAAAACATGAAATTGCTTACTGAGTTAGTAATTAATATACTTCAGGAACAACTATTTTAGAACTTTTTATAATAATGCAAACATCTTTCATGTGGAATTTAATATTTAATTTAGCATGATGTCAATCAGCCAAAAACAGTCAGTAATGGTCAACAGGAAAGTTATGCTAGTCATATATATGTAGATACTTACACACACACACATATTATATATATATATATATATATATATATATATATATCAATAGAGTGATAATATATAGTATTGATTTGAAAATTATTTTATTTGAGTAATTAACTTTTTATAATAATGCAAACATCTTCCATGTGGAATTTAATATTTAATTTAACATGATGTCAATCAGCCAAAAACAGTCAGTAATGTTCTACAGGAAAGTTATGCTAGTCATATATATGTAGATACATACATATACAGTCAAAAGTCGTTAATTCGGACACCCATAATTCGGAATGATCTATAATCCGGACATCAAAACTAAAAACTTTCTGCGCATGCGCCGCGTTGACACATGCGCAGAGGCGTTCACGCGTGCGCGTAAGACCTTTTACGACTGCGCATATGATTGTGCGCAAGTGCAGAATACGTTTTCGCGTGCGCATTTTATGTATAATGGACATATAAGCTAAATAATTATCTATTTCAGTTAATGTTGATGATTGCGTTGTTCCTTAATTTTCGGATTGCATCCGGCTTATTATTTTTTGCAGACTGTAAGAGCAATTTTATAAAAGTAAGCTTAAACTTTCGATTATATCAAATAGAATTTCCGATATATATTTGTTAATATGTAAAGGATCTAAAGCGAAAGTATATTTTGAAATCCGAAATCTGTTTATCATTTTCACGCTGCTCGGCGGCGGGCGCGTAATGAATTGGAAGTTGATTTGTCAGCACTATCCTTATCTTCAGCGCAGATGTTTTTATTTTATTTGGCTTATAATTACTTACCAAATGTAGTATTTCATCTCGATATGCTCCGTCTTTGATATGATTTAAAACAAGTTCCTCGTCATTATAATTCGCTTCCGATAGCGAAGAAAAGTGACAGAGGTATTGAAAACAAAAAAATTTCGATTGACAAAATTAGTCGGTGTTCTTGACACAGCAATTATAGGACTTGAACGGCGGAACTTTGTAACTGAACAAGAAAAATTATGGTCTGTTTAATAGAATTAAAGAGAAAGTATTATCACATGAAACGAAGCAAAACTTAAACAACTCACATTGAAAGCAATGTTTAATAAAGTAAAACAAATAAATATTAAGCTTTTTCTTTTTGCAAATTTTGATACCCTTTAGATCATAATTGTTCTTTATTTCATAAATTACGGTTTCATATTTTTAATTTTGGAATTTCTGCATGCCATCTTACGAGATTTAAACTGATGATCTATAATCCGGAAAAATCGATAATCCGGAATCGCCGAAGTCCCGACGAGTCCGGATTAACGACTTTTGACTGTATATAATCAATATTCCTCTCAGCCACATCAAAATTTCAACTACATATTTTAATTTTTATTGTTACAAATATAGGTATTAGAACTAAAAGAAGTATCACAGTAAGTTAATTCCCCTCCCAATAAAAGCTGACATAAAAATATTATTATAAAATTAAGACTATAGTTATCATAGTACACAGGGCTCTACTCTTATATGTGCCCTAATATCACCAAATGTGGCGATATGTGTTCTGCACTGGTTTTTGGTGCAATTGCATGTTGTATGGCAACCCTGTTGACGTTGAAAGATCTTTTGCTGGAGTAGTTTAATTGCTCGTTGGTTCGTGTCGTACATGTTTTGAAATGGCCTATGTTGCAATGAGAGATGTGGTGGCAAGATTTCAGTCGCGTATTTTAGATTGTGTGCAAAGGAAATTTAGTATTAAAAGGTACGATGCTGGAGTCGTTAACGAATCTGCTCTGTATAACACTCTGTGTCTGAGAAGATAGCGGGGAAAGATTAAGTGGTGGAAGTTGATGAATCGAAGTTCAGCAAAAGGAAATAATCATCGTGGCCATCCTGTTGAGGGGCAGTGGGTATTTGGAGGTATGGAAAGAGGGTCTGGGAGATTATTTTTTGTAACTGTGCATGATAGAAGTAGGAAAACGCTGATGCAGTGTATTAAAGAGTGGACTGAGCCTGGTACAACTATTTTTTCAGATGGATAGAAATCCTACAAGGATTTAGGAAAGAAGGTTTTGAACATTTATTTGTGAAAGATAGTATATCAATTTTGTGGATAGTGAGTCTGGCCGTCATATAAATATGGATAGTGATTACGTGGCAGCATGTTAAAGGTGGCATGAAACTGGTATTTCTGCTGTTCGAAAAAGCATTCATTCATGATAAGTGCATTTTATTTTATTCTTGTTCTTATTTTGTAGAATGTTATGTTCATTGTTTTTTTTAGTATGAATTTCTGTTTTTTTTTTTTTTTTTTTTTTTTTTTAATTGTTCAAAATTTATATTAGTTATTTAAGTTTATTTTGTTGATTAGTGCGTAATACCTAGATTGTGCAATTCGTAGATGTTTTTTAAAGTTGAAACAGAACGCTGTGTACATGGTATTCTTTGAAATTTATTGTTATTATGTTAATTTATTAAAGCAAAGTGTGTGTAGTTTGTAGATTCGTTCATTACCTAGATTGTGCAATTTGTAGATGTTTTTTTTAAGTTTAAACAGGATGCTGTGTACATGGTATTCTTTGAAATTTATTGTTGTTATATTAATTTATTAAAGCAAGGGCTAAAGTGCAGAAACGCCCACTTATTTGTTTGGCACTTTTTACAAGAGTAAGAAGAATTGGATTTTTGTCAATTTTCTTCGACCTTTTTAAAAGAAAATAGGTCGATGTGTACATGGATTAAGTCAAGAGTGTGTGCAATGCCATTTTTGTGCAATTCTGGGATATTTTTTTTAAGTGAAAATAGGTCGACGTGTACATGGATACCGCGTATGTGCAATTCTTGAAAGCGCGCCAAGCAGTTTGCGATTCTGCACTTTCACCAAAGCGAGGTGTGCGTAGTTCGTAGATTCGTTCGTTGCCTAGATTGTGCAATTCGTAGATGAGTTTTTTTAAGTTAAAACATATCGCTATGTACATGGATTCTTGCCAAATATTTTTGGTTAGAAACTTAACGTTTTTGCTATCTAAATTTTTTGTTTTCGTTCACAATTTTTAGCTTAAATTGTGTTCAAAACGTGGTTTTTGCATGTGCGAAAACCACGTTTTTGGAGACATTTTAGGCTTAAAATTCGAAATGTAGACAAAAAAATTTAGATAGTAATATGGCAGCGTGGAGTTTCTTGCCAAAAATGTTTGGCGAGAAATTTGGCGACCTGAGGGTGCATATAAGAGTAGGATAAAAACTAATGAAATAACTATAGTTATCTAGCATACACAAAGAAATATATATTATATTACTATGATCACGTATGGGTGAAAATTCATTGATTACAGATAATTAACAGAAGGAGAAACACACTTTAAAATAAATGTCTTATATACATAAAAAATCTAAGCACGAAAACAATAATTAAAGCACAATTATCGAATTAATTGAGAAGAGAAGCTAAAATTGATCACAGTAATATATTTAAAAGTTTACCAAAAAAGACATCAAATGGACACAACAGAAAAATTATAATTAATTATAAGTCAGAAAAAAATTACATAAAATCTTATGCTGAGAAATTTCACATTTAGATAAAATTAAAATTCAGATTAAGGCCATAAAACAAACAGATGAATCAAAAATATCATTTCATGAATTCAGATTCAATTATTTGTTACATTAAAGACTTCAGAACGATCCTAATATTTAAACAAGCTTTTGGATATAATTTCAAAGGCAATCTTTATATAAGTGGTATGTAAAATCATCTTATCTTTCATTATAAGCATATATTTTTCAAGACTATTTTATTTCTTTTAAATTAATGATCACCTATTTTAAAGGGACTATCTGTCAAACACAATTATATAGAAAAAGGAAAAAGATGTCTCCAAAAGAAAGCACAAATATTATTACAAAATAAAAGAAACTCCTGATACACGTACAGACATACACGTGCACATAAAATCACAGATAAATAATACGAAACTAAATATTAAAAAAGATGAATACCTCTAAACAGGACAACAGCACAGCCAAACAAGCTACCAGACCGGTACGGTCAGTGTGGAGAACTTTCACACAGCTTTTCAATATTTCCAGGAAACATAATTTTTCATCCGAAACAGTTCTTCTTTATGAAATAATGAACGCAATTTCACGAAAGGAGGAGAAATTAGAAAAAAAAAAAAAAAAAAAATTGTTTTGCATTGTTCATTATGCCACATAGAGTTACTTTTTACTGCTACTTGCCGGTATGTTTAACGTTCAGTATGTTCTTTCGAGTTTCTTTTTTCTTTTCTCCCGAAGGTCTGAAATGATAAAGAACTAAATGCAGTACAAGATAGGATTAAATCGAGAAGAAGGTTTTTAACAAGTTACCTTACTCTGAGTGGAATGGTGCGAACAACAGGGTGCCTAATCAAGAGTCACTATCACTATCTAGTGAGAATGTCTATTACGAATTTTGTTAGTTCATACGAATGCTCTTGACTGAAGTCCTTTTATAAATCCTAAAACAAATTGCAAACAAAAAATATTTACATAGCAAAGTAAGGGTTAGTATAATGTAGGAGAGAAATAATATTGCTACCCATTAAGTCATTTAACATTCCTTACATCATTTCTTGTGGAATTGTTTAGGTAGTTTGTAATACACATTCTGAGTTAAAAAATATCCAGCTCTTCATGAATTTTAATATTTCGGCAATGTCAAGATGCTTACAGATTTGCCGTAGAACAGTATTTTGAGTAGCCTGTAATGCTTTTTCGACTGTTAAAAGCATGAGTACTCCTAACAGTTGAAGCAGGATGCGTTTTTAGCGAGATGGGAGTAAATTGTTGCCCATACATAAAACGCTGTTCAGATTTGATTATAGGGAATTATAGGCAATAAGGATCTTATCTTCTGAATAATAGATGTAATGTATGGTATCCATGTAAGAATCCTAGCTAAGATCACCTGAGGAAAGAGACTTACTTATTCCAGAGAACGGTATTTCCGTATAGCTTTAGGTCCCACTTAATCTTCGTTCTTCTGGTAAACAGAATTGCTACTGATTAGTCGACATTGTGTATTTTCACTCTTGATTATCCAGACCTGAAGTGCATCTACGTGATTTTTGTAAATATTGTACGTCTGAGTCATGGAATGCGTTTTGTGCAAGGATCGCCGCGTCATAATTTATTTTCCTACAGCAGTGTTATTATTAGTGGAGTAATAGAAGGAACTAATACAAATTACTGCCCGTTATTTTTTGTCATAAAAGGACCTAAAAACATCCTAGAATACGGAAAAGAGGACAAACAGTTTGTCTATAGATGTTTCTGCCACTTTATCTTCGGGCAATATTTTTGATAATATCCCAAAATTCACTTCATTAAACATATTATTAACATCTTTTACAATTTTCATTACTTTACAGGAGTATTTTAAATATTACCTAGTCTATATTTTTTATCAGCTTTTGGTTTTAAATTTGCCTTTGTTGTGTAATATTTAATGATGCTGGCTGATTAATTTCTACACTACTATCCCTGCTTGGTCTTAATGTAGAAGTTTCAGTCAGTTTGCTGTTTCCTGTGGTGCCTAAGTTTATTGCAGGGGCAAGTTCTTCGTTGCACTTGGAAGTTTTCTAAATAACAATATTCTGTTAAGATTCCGCCTAAATTTAGGACAAGCTGTATAATTGGCTGCATGAAAGTGTCGGCAGTTGCAGCACTTACTGTTTTCTATTCTATTTGCTGCGCACTCTGCGCTTTTATGCGGACTGTTGCGACCGCTTTGTATTCCACTGTGGCGCCGATTTATTCTCGCGAAGTATTTAATGTAACCACAAATACGTTTTCTTTATGTAGCTTTGGATTAAATTAGATAAGGTTGGAAGCAAATCTCCGGAGCTATATCTGGATTTGAACCGAGATTAAATCATCGGCAATAAGAATAATAATGATGATTTAGAAATCTGTTAATTAAATTTAGTTAGAATTATAAAAGACACTTTATTGGTATTCCGAACAAGAATGATGAGACTTTACGCATCTTTAGGGACCCCCAATATTTCACGAAACGGGCTTGATTTGTAGACTTCAGATGAATGCAAAATAACATTTTCCATGAATTTTAAAAAGCTGGAATTCGAACTTCTCAGCTGTCACATGGAAAAGGGCGCGATACCCCAAGTCCACGGTTTGTCTCTTGAATCCTGTTATTTGGCCTTTTCTGCCAGCAAAAACCACAATGTTTTCACCTGGCTGAAGGATTGCGCAAGCCTTTTCCAACGTTCCCAAACTCTTCACACTTTTGCGCTTCCTCGTCCACGCAGTCTCGGATACGGCGGTATACAAATTACGAGACTAGTGGTTCTAGAGGCCCCAGAAAGGTCACTTATCGGCCGGCTTATCTGGCAAGTCCGAGAATGAGGGCTCTAGTAGCCCCGGGTTGCGTCCCGGGTACACTGGGTAATGTCCCTCTGTGACGGGCAGCCCGAGGGACTCGACGGTAGCAAATTGACGACCAGTGGCGCCATGGAGGTCTTTGTGACTACAGGTGCGTTAGCGCTGATCTCTCAAAGGTTCTAGACCGGCCGAGAGCTATTCGTACCAACATTAATCACGCATGCGCATTGAGTTGTCAGATTCTTCATTTGAACCCAATCGAAAAGAACGGATTCTACGTACGCGAACTGCCTAAAGGCCCGTCTACACTTAGCGATTTTCTCGACGGACATATCTGGCCGACAATATCTGAGATAGCTCGCCTGTCCACACGGAACGATTTTCTCGTTAGTACAGGAATTCACTCCGCCGATCACTATGAAATGAAGTGTTCCCTCCCTCTACAGTGTCACACTGTCTACGATTTGTAAACAAAGCTTACGGTGTTGTCAAATAGTCAAAATAATGGATGACTATTTTAAATTGCTACTATAGATACAGCTACAATTTTGAACTTAGCTACTGCTACAGAAGGGGAAAAAGTGCGTTTGGACCAGAAATTGGGTCAAACGACGAGAAATTCATAGTGCCTTCGTAATTTCCTGCTCCGGGAGTTGCGTATTGAAGACACAGTACAATTCGGAAAGTATTTACGGATGATGCCGCGTGATTTTGATTTTTTGCTAAATTTAGTTTGCAGAAAAATTTTAAAAAAATGCTTTTCTTTTGTGTACTGAGTACAGATATCCTTTTTTAGTTTATTTTTTATTTTAAATTCACTTTCGGCACTTCTATTTGTGCATTTAAATCTTGAAAAATAAAAACCAGTTTCAGAAAATTAAGTAACTGTGATTAAGTGCCGAATAAATACTAATTCAGAAGTCAAACAACAAAAATCAGCGTTAATTTACAAAATTTTCACAGGACTAGTTTCGATGGTTTTACCGAACCATCATCTTCAGCTGCAAAACCGCAAATGAACAAGATAGGAAATAATGATTAGATAAGATAAGAAAGCCCTGGACAAGAATAAGCAAGTGGCGCCATCTGTTGGCGAAACCAGAACTAAAACATAATTTCTCTAAAAAGCCGAAGGCAAATTTGGATTGGAATTAGGATCGTTAACTAGAACAGAAAGATTTTTATGAATGTGAAATGCCTCTAGAAAATCCAGTTCTCCAATGGAAGATGTTTTTTGAATAATTTTGGCAGCAGAAAAATTGAAAGTGTGATTTTCGGACCAACAATGTTGAGCAACAGAAGACTTCTGTGTTTCCTTTTTTCTAACATATGCCTCATGTTCTTTGACGCGAAATTTTAAGGCTCTCTTAGTTTGGCCAATGTAAATTAAACCGCACTGGCAAGGAATCCTATAAATACCCCAGGAATTCATATCCGGAATGGGGTCCTTGAGTATAGAAGTTGGAATTTTATTGATGGGAGAATAAACAAACCCGAAAGTTAAATTTCTGCAAAATATGTGCAACTTTATAGCTAATTGATGGAAAGAAGGGAATGACAACAGAATTTTTATAATCTCCTAAAATAAGAGTGTGGCTTTTAGTGTGTTGAGATGAGAATTTTTTAACTGCTTGATTAATAATGTTGGGTGAAAAGCCCCTGTCAATAGCTATTGCTTTTAAATAATTTAGTTCTTCATCAAGGGCTAGTTTGGAGGAGCAAACTTGAAGAGCACGGAAAACATAGGAATAAAATGAAGCTAACTTTTGTTTAGTCGGATGACATGATTTAAAGTGTGGTGGAAGGCAAACCGATGAAGGTTTACGGTAAACTGTAGTACTGAAGTTGGATGTGTTACGTGTGACCAGAATGTCGAGAAACGGAAGAGAATTGCAAGTCTCAAGTTCAAAAGTGAACTGAATAGCAGGATCAATAGAATTCATTGTTGAAAGAACTCTTATTTAAATCATCTTTATTACCTTCAAACAGGGTAAAAGTATCGTCTACGTAGCGGAACCATGCCGGGAAGTTTAAAGTTTCAAACAATTTTGATTCATAATAATGCATGTAGATATCAGCCAGGATGGGACTGAGGGGGCTTCCCATGGCTAATCCCTCAGTTTGCTTGTAATATTTATTTTGGAAAACAAAATGTGTTTGTTTCAAACAGAGTTGAGTGAGAGAAATTAGCTCATCAATTTCGATGCAAGAGAAATGAAATTCGCGAAGTCTGGTTTCTAGACATCTTAATGCACCCTCCACTGGGACATTGGTGAATAATGATTTTACATCAAAAGAAACCATGAGTAAATTACTAGGAGAAATGTTTTTAACCTTTTTTACAAACTCTATTGAATTTTTTATGGTGTAAATGTTATTGTCTAATAGAGTGGAAAATCTAGAAACTAAATATTTAGCTAATGGATACGAGGCAGTACCTAAATTTGATACAATAGGGCGGAAAGGAATACCACTTTTATGAATTTTGGGAAGAGCATATAATCTGCTTCTATAATACTTGCTTTTCAAAACCTTTATTAGATAAATAATAATATCATGATATCAAAAGAAAAAAGTATTAAAAGAATAAGATTCTACAATACAAGCAACAGTGTAATTTCAAAAATTTTAAATAAGAAATTTCGTAAAGGTGCAAAATC